ACCTCACTAAGCTGCCTGACAATCTCATAAGGCCCCTCCCAATTATTCTGTAATTTCGGGGCCCTTCTCTTCCTTCTTTGAGGAATAAATAAACAAACTCTTATCCTATTTTGAAATTAATCCGCTTAGCTTTCTGATCATAGCGATCCTTTACTCGCAAGGATTTTAGATTCAAGTATTCTCTCGCACTGCGATGGATTGCATCCAGCCTTTCTCTGAATTTCCAAGTATAACATTCCCTTGCGTTATTATCCCTATTCTCAGGTGGATTTCCTCACAATAAATCCATGGGAAGCCGAAGTTCCCGACCAAAATACAACTCCGCAGGAATAAAACCTGTAGCCTCATGCCTTAACGACCAACAAGCTAACATGCACAAAGGAATCTATTTATTCCAGACCCTTTGATTTTCTGCCACGAATATTGACAGATAATTCAAAATTGTCTGATGCTGGTGTTCAACCTGACCATCGGACTGGGGATGTAAAACAGTTGTTCTAGTCTTCTTAATTCCCAACAAACGAACAATTTCCTAAATAACTTTCGATTTCTCTCGTGATCAGTATGCAATTCGCATGGCACGCCATGCCTAGAAACTATTTCATAAACAAAAACTTCCGTCACCGTCTTAGCCCTACTATTTTTTAATGGAAAAGTCTCGACCCATTTCGTAAAACAGTCCACTATTACCAGGAGAAAACGATTCCCTGAAGACGAATATGGAAGAGGACCCAAAATGTCCATCTGAATTCTTTCAAATGGAGCACCGACATTGTAAATTTGCAATGGAAATTTACCCTTACAAGAGGGACTCTTTCTTGCATTACAAATATTACAACTCCGACACCAATTTTCCACATCTTGCTTACACGAAGCCCGATAAAAACGTTTACGAATTTTATCCAGAGTTTTATTGATCCCAAAATGACCTCCTGTAGGCGTGTCGTGAGCAGCTCTCAAAATTTGTTCCATCCGACTTCGAGGAACTATAATCTGATCAATAACGAATTTAATATTTGGAGATTCCCACCTCTTATAAAGAAGAACCCCATTCTGTACCAAAAGAGCATCCCAATAGGAAAAATAAACCCTGGCCGAAGATTCAAGACTGGCCAAGTCCTCACGAAGTGGAATTTCTTCTTTTTCTTTAGCACGCAAAAATACAGAGACCACTGAATCTTCAAATTGTTCCTTACTCCACTCCTTCCTGACTGAGAACATCTTCCTGCAAAACTATTCAAGCTATTAAGCTTTCCTCACTGGATTCCTTTATAGCTTCCACCTTATCACAATAATTGCAGCCATCTCGAGAACATGGCCGCCTAGATAACCCATCTACGTTTTGATGCGATATTCCTTTTTGATACACTATCCGGAAATCATATTGCTGCAATCTCTCTAACTATCGAGCTAGTTGTTCTTCCAATTCCCTAAAAGAAGTCAACCAATGTAAAGAATTATGATCAGTCCTAACCAAAAAATTCCTATCGTATAAATAATGATGGAAAGATTTTATAGAATTAACTATTGCTAATAACTCCCGACGGGTCACACAATAAATTCGTTCCGATTTATTTAAAACCTGACTAAAATATGCAATAACCCTTTTAACCCCATCTTGATTTTGTGACAAAACTGCCCCTATCCCGTGATTAGAAGCATCTGTATCCAAAATAAACTCTCCCGTTTCAGAAGGGAAACTGAGCACCGGAGAAGAAATTAGAACCTGCTTAAGACCATCAAAAACTTCCTGACTTGACTTTGTCCAAATAAATTTTTCCTGACTTTCAGTCAATTTATAAAGAGGCTTCGCTAATGTTGAAAATTCCTTAATAAATTTCCGATAAGAACAGAATCCCAAAAAACTCCGAACTTGCTTCTTGCTCTGGGGAATCGGCCAGTCTTTTACCGCAGAAATCTTTTCAGGATCTATAGTCAACTCTTCCTCAGAAATAATGTGACCCAAATACCTAACTTTTTACTAAAGAAAGAACACTTTTTAGGATTAATTTTCAAATTAGCCTTACTTAAACAAATAAATACCTCTCGTAAGTTTTTCAACATTTCTTCAAAAGTTTTGCCAAAAGTAATAACATCGTCTAGATAAACCGAACAAATTTTATGAAGCACCTCCCGAAGAACCTTTCCCATTAATCTTTCAAACGTAGCTGGTGCATTACAAAGACCGAATGGCATCATTGTAAACTACCACAAACCATTTCCAATCGAAAATGCAGTCTTTTCCCTATCTGAAAGACGAATCCCAACTTGCCAATAACCACTCTTAAGGTCTAGGGTACTGAACTAAGAATTATCCGAAAGCTGATCAAGGATATCATCCATCCTTGGTAAACAGTCTTTAATAATAACCGCATTCAATCTTTTATAATCCACACAAAACCTAAGCGAACCATCCTTCTTCTTAACCATGACTGCAGGAGAAACCCAAGAACTTTGCGATTCTTCAATAATACCCTGATGTTTCATATCCTCAATAATTGATTCTACCTCCTGACGCATATGAATTGGAATTCGCCTAGGAGTCTGCTTAATTGGCCTAGCTCCAGAAACATTGATAGAATGCTCCAAAATTTTACAATTCCCAGCAGAAACGTCTTCTGCAAAAATGTCTTGAAAATCGCCTAAGAAAGAGGCAAAGATCTCCTTCTGCGGAACATCCAATCCCTCCGAACTATTTTCAAAAAGCTCCTGCAGAAAAACCGGAACCTTACTTTCCGAAATTACACGAGGACAAATAAACATCTCCCTTTCCGGCCGAATCTCGCTAGTAAATTCTTTTTCAAAAATTTCTTCTAATTGAATCTTCTTTAAAAAGTCGACACCTAAAATACAATTGTCAGAAATGTCAGCTACAAAAAAGGGAATTCTACTTTATGCCTACCTACATCTACTCTTGTAAGCACTTTATAATGCACTATTACCTCTTCCCCAGTCGGATATCGTAGAAAATAATTACTAACTGGAAAACGCTGTCTATAAGTTTTTACCAATTTTCTACTAAGTAAAGAAATATCGGAACCTGTATCAATTCTAAAATTACACACCTCTCCATCCACTAAACCCTTATAACAAAAAGAACTTTCATTCCCAACAACTCTACCATTCCTAAAAGAAAAATTATATTTATTTTTATTCAGTCTTTTGACGGGGGTACAGTTACTAATAGTCGAGCTCCCCCCACTCAGCTCGACCCAACCAAGTTTCCCTTCTCCTTATGACCTAATGAAGGACACTCTGACCGAAAATGCCCACTTGCGCCACATTGCCAGCACTCTCTCCCACTAAGTCGCTTACCACGATTATCCCGCAAGTTCCCTTGCTGTTCCCCAAAGATTCCTTCGAAACCCTTTATCTGCTTATTCTTTTCTCTATCGAAATTTTTATTTTCCCTTGAAAAATTATTGACGTCCTTAAAGTTATTCCGGTACCTTCTTTCGAAACTATTTCTCTGGATAGTTTTAATTGCTATACTTCTCTCAACGGCTGATCTTAATGAATTTACTCCTTCTAACTGTAACGTTTGTTTAACAAAACCGTCCGACAAGGCAGAAATGAATTGCGCGCATGCTATTTTATCTCGCACCGCGAAATCACACTCCGTATATGCTAAACGTGCTAACCGTTCAATCTCATTTCCCAGAGACGCGTAATCCTCATTGAATTTTTGTTTTCGATTAACGAATTAAATAATATGACTGAGCCGAGAGCCCCTCTCCAAAAAGTAATTCTAATTTCGCCTTAATCTCCGAAAACGAAATCGCTCCGATTTCCATGTTCAAGAATTAAGCGTGCCTTTCCTCGAAGACACGAAACAAAAGCCACGGTCTTGGCCGAATCGCTCTAACCATTTGAATGCGCAATTAAATTAAACTGCGCCATAAATTCATGAAGAGGAACGCTTCTGTCATAAATATCCGTTTTTAATTTAAACCCGAGATCCAATTGCGTATCCCCTACCGGATGACTAACTACATTCGGAGAAATATTATTAGAAGAACTTAACTGGATCAAACGCTCCTCTAAACGCTTCAGCGTTTCGTCCCGCTGAAGAAGCTGAGACTGAAATTCGGCCTCTCGTGCCTGCTGCAGCTGCCTTTCCTCGCGTAACGAGCTCAGCTTCTCACGTATGGCCCGCAACATTTCCACTTCACTTGGCTGCTCCGGCGTCATTACACGAGGCCTCTTTCTTAATTGTATTCCTGACACAGTCGCCGTTGACGCGTCACCGGAATTCATCCCGGACGAGCCCCCAAAATGTTACGCCCAAGCGTCGTTTTCCTCTCACTCACGATCACCCGCGTAAATAGTAAGCAACACTCCCGTGAACAAATAACAAGAACTCTTTAATATAAACAAAACTTTGTACAAAGTTTGCGAACGAGAACAATTATTCAGAGAAAACTCTTTAACGTAATTCGATCGAATCGCTCAATCGCTCCATAGAAAGTTACCCCAGCTGTCAACAACAACAACAATCGTAACAACGGTTGTTAAGATGAGCGTCGACACATTCCACGTTCGGCAAGACGTATATACGGGAGCGTAATAATATTATATACCAATTAAAAACATTATTGTTAACATGGTGAAAATTTCTTCGGAAATTATGACAATAGGCTCTTGATTATTCTGAACAACTTGCGTAATTAATGCTATTTCATTGATAAAAGTAGGAACTTCACAGAACTTACGTGAAATTAATGCAGTATTACGTTTGTAACACTATGTTGCAATAATAACTTCATATATCCTGTTTCTCCTTATTATAACATATCACTTAAAGTGTGTAGAGTATTTACATATTTCATTTGTTCACTTTAATACATACATTTTTTTTAATGAAATGGTTTCGCGAAAGTGTAAAAACGATCCTGATAAATTTTGCTACATCTGTGGTGAATACGTTCCATAAAAGCAAAAAGTTCCTATAACTCAAAATATCAAAACATGTTATTTTGAATATTTTAATATTGAAATAAAAAATCTTGATAAACCATGGGTTCCTCATACAATTTGTACAACTTACTATCAAGGATCGAGATATTGGTTGAAAGGAAAAAGAAGTGACATGCGATTTGGTATTCCAATGATTTGGCGTGAACCAACTGATTATATAACTAGCTGTTACTTTTGCTCATACCAAATCACGAGCTATAATGCTCGCAATAAGAAAAATATCTCTTATACAACACTTTCATGCACTACAAGACTTGTTTTTCATAGATCTGATATTCCTATTCCTTCTCTACCAATGAACCCTTCTTTACCATCTTTAGACAACGACAATCTTGTTGATGAGAACAATGTAGATTTTGAAATTTATGAAATCGATCCGGTTGATGATAATAGTCCAAAGCCTGTCAATCAGTCTGCTTTAAATGATCTTGTAAGAGATTTAGGTCTATCTAAAGAAAATGCAGAGTTACTGGGATTCAGATTGAAAGAAAGGTATTTGTTAGAATCAGAAACAACGTTTTCTTGGTACAGACACCGTGAAAAAGAATTTATTCCTTTTTTTTCTATGATAGATTCATTAGTTTTCTGTAATAATGTATCTGACTTGATGCATTTTTTGGGATTAAAGTCTTATAATGTTAATGAATGGAGACTTTTCATTGATTCCTTAAGACGAAGCCTAAAAACTGTTCTCCTTCACAATGGGGGAATATATGCATCAGTACCTATTGGACATTCAGTTCATTTAAAAGAAACATATGAAAACTTAAAAACACTGTTGGGATATATTAACTATGAACAACACAATTGGTTAATTTGCGGTGATTTGAAAATTTTATGTATGCTTCTAGGACAACAGCAAGGTTTCACCAAATTCCCATGTTTTCTTTGCGAATGGGATAGTATAGCCAGAGAACTTCATTGGACAGAAGAAAAATGGAAAGTAAAAAGAAGCTTGGAACCTGGCGTGAAAAATGTAATAAATGAAACGTTAGTTGATCCTAATAAAATTTTGTTACCTCCGTTGCACATAAAATTGGATCTAATGAAGCAATTCGTGAAGGCTCTGCATAAGGAAGGAAATTGTTTTAAATACCTCTGTACAAAGTTTCCTCATCTTAGTGATGCAAAGATTAAGGAAGGCATTTTTATTGGGTCTCAAATTAGATTACTTATTAAAGACGAGAAATTTGAAAAAACAATGACTTGTTTAGAAAGAGAAGCTTGAGTTTCATTGAAGAAAGTGATTCTGGGTTTCTTGGGAAACAAAAAAGATTCTAACTATGAAGAATTGGTGAATAACTTGCTTGAAAAGTTTATGAAATTAAGATACACTATGAATCTAAAGATACATTTTTTGAAAAGCCATCTTGACTACTTCCCCAAACGTAGCTTAAGAAGCGTAAGCGAGAAACAAGGGGAAACATTTCATTAGGATATTAAATAAAGAGATGGAAAAAAGATATCAGGGTCGATGGGATATTCATATGTTAGCAGATTACTATTGAAGTATTAAGCGAGACATTTCTGACATGGTTCATAGTAAAAAGTCCAAGAAACGCTCTTTTGACTCTATTTCTGGATAAATAAAATCTTTTTTTATTAACATTTTCGCTTTTGCCTTCAGTAATTGGATCATCTGGTTTTGCCTTCAGTGGCTGGGCAGCCTTTTAATCTTGCCTTCAGTGGCTGGATCATCTAGCCTTGCCTTTAGTAGCTGAACAGGCTTTTAATCTTGCCTTCAGTGGCTGGATCATCTAGCCATGCTTTCAATAGCTGGGCAGCCTTTTAATCTTGCCTTCAGTGGCTGGATCATCTAGCCTTGTCTTCAGTGGCTGGATAGCCTAGTGAAAAACGGTATTTTTTGGCTATTTAAATCTAATTATTTTGAAAACCTGACGTGATAGAAAAATTCTAAGGCCAGATTCGTATTCAGCGGACAAAATTACGTAGGAAATGATCTTTGAAATCCAAAACGCATAAAGTTTTTGAAATTTTGCAGGTCTGTGTTATCATTCAAACGCTTCAATTGTTGTCGATAATGTTCAGCAGTTACTATTTCGTTCGGTTTCAACAGCTCATAATATACGACACCCTCCATATCCCACCAAATAAAGAGCATTGCTTTGTAACCGTGGATGTTTCGTTTTAATGTCGACGTTGATGTTTGGCCAGAATCGACTCATGGTTTCTTGTGTTTCGGATTGTCGAAATAGATCCATTTTTCATCGCCGGTCACGATACACCACGAAAAACTCTTCTTTTTATGCCTTTTTATGCCTAACAAAAAAATCGAGATATTTAAACGATTAACAATGGCATTTTTGGTCAATTCATGTAGCAGCCATTTTCCTTCTCAGCGAACACAATGTAACATGTAATATACTTGTTAATTATAATTTCCTACTCAACAATGTAATTGTTACTCAGACAGCACCGAACATCCAATGGATGTACGTTTCACGTCCAATTTATGTTCGTATGTCCGATTTACGTCCATGGACATAAATTGGATGTAACAAGAATGTCCTTATTGGACAGCGGACCTGTAGGACGTCCGATGTACGTCCATCAGACGTCCTATGTCCGAAGTTGTGACAAACGTACCTATGGACGTCTTTTGTAAAAAAATTGACATATAACGGACGTCCAATGGACATCCGTGTGCTGTCTGGGTATATAACACATGCGTTATATACCAGTTATATTGTTCAGTAGGAAATTACAATTAACAAGTATGTTACATATAATATTGTGTTTGTTGAGTTCTTTCTGGATCTTTTCCATAGCTTGTAAACATCGTGGAATAGTTGATTTATCGACTTCGAGCTGTTGATTTAATAAGTCGTTGACTCAATTCTTTGAGTGTTTGAGCAGGTTTCCAATACAGCTTGCAGTTGTTCATCTTTAAACTTTTTCGATTGACCTGGCCATTGTTTGTTGTAAACGTCACAATCACCATTTTTGAATCGTTGGAATCAATCTCTACATACTTATTTCCTTGATGGAGCAGATTCACCATAAATTTTCGCAAGCTATCAATGAGCTTCAGCTGAACTTTTTTCAAATCGAAGTAGTATAGAAGTACACATTGGAAAAACAATTTATCAGGTCCCATTTTAATTCGGTTATAGAAAATTGTGTAAATAAAGAATGACGTCTGATGACTAAATTTTAGTGGAAAATGTTCACACTTTAAAATGACATGAGAGACATCTGTCACTGCCCACAGCATATGCAACTACATAGAGGGCAGAACCATGTGAACAGCGGCTTTCAATGGCTGCGTTCAGAAAACACAACGGTTACACAACGGTTGAGTAATTCGTCGTTATTGGTCTGAATGTAAGGATCTAACAGTAAGGACTAATAATTACTAAGCACTCATTGAGCGCTTTGTTTTCTGAACGCAACCATTGTAACCTTCTAATATAGGGTGTCCGGTAATTAGCTGCCAACCCGTGAAGTGTGAAGGTAGATTGGGTTAAAGCGCTTATACGTATACACACATCCATTCTTATGTCAGAATATACAAAGCGTCTCATAAATAATGTTGCAGAACTCGTGGAGACAGAGCGGGTTAAGACAAACATAAAAGTCCTATACCGTTTTGCGAGATTCGCAATAATTATTGAGTTATTGATTACAGAAATCTGACGAATGAACGCGCGCCGAGATGGATAATCGGAGGAGCGTCATAGCTTCTGTTGGCGGCGTGCGATGAGACGTAAACGGCTAAATAAAATACGAATAGCGGCGCGTTGTCTTTCCCCTCGCCGCGCAACGGCAACAGTTTCTAAATCCACTGGGTCGCGTTATGACCCAAGCTGCTGCAACGCTTCTCTAATCATCTATGTCGACGTGTATCCATTCCTCAGATTTCTGTCATTAATAACTTGATAACTATTGCGATTCTTGCAAAATTATACTCTACTTTTCCTTTCAGCTTAACCCAATCTTTCCTTCCAACCTTCACACTTCGGGTGGGCAGATAATTACCGGACACCCTGTATAATAGCGCAAACAAGAGGTGTCTTTCATGTATTGCATATTTTGAAGTTCAAATTCGAGAACACAATTTCATAAAATTGTAAAGATTTAATTTAATAGATATTTTGGTAGAAGTTTAATGCGTTTTTTAAGCTGTTACTGGGCAGTTATGTTAACTTTCATCTAGTAACTGAAAAATAAAATTATTTGCTACCCCGATTATATATTTAGTTAATTAAAGATTATTACCGAAAAAAGCGAATAACGCTGTTCGATTTTTTACAGATGGTAGACCTTCATCACCTTGCATAAACAAGTCACTGAGTTTTCGAGGAGATGGTCTATTTTGACCAGCCATAGCATAGACACTGTCGGAGTATGCTGCCGGAACTTTCCGAATTAGTCTGCTATCTACTTATGTAAGAAGATACAAAACATATATTAGTATTTCCACAAATAATCACTTACACTGCTTTTATGCTTTTAAGTACACTAATTCATAGCTATCTTATCAAATTTCCTACGATATTTTTTGTCATTTTGTAATTTATTGATAGTAATGAAATTTTTTTATGACAATATAATTATATAAATAACTAATTTTTAATAGTTATATGTTAAACTAAAATTTTCACAAATTTTTCGTTCATGTATCAAGTTAGAAAAACTAAGCAAAGAAGAATTAATTTTTACTTTAGCTTAATTGCGCAAAGGAGGTAATAGAAAATTATCGTTATAAATAGTCACATTTTTATGTACTTATCGTAATGATACTACAATACTATTGAATCAGAATAAACAAAGTTCATAGTTAAACAAATTTAACAACTTTTAGTAAAATGCTCGTCTGCTACATAATTTTTAAAAAATTCAAATAAATAATATATGCACTAAAATTATTGTATTTCTATATTATTAAATAGCATCAAATACTTGCCAACAGATCCCCAATCAGGATGAGCCAAGTTGTTATAAAATCCATCATATCTCTGTTTAATGTTCATATAATTATGGCCCGCTCCTGAAACAAGTTCTTTTATACTGATAAGTTAAGATTTGCTATTTTCGTCGAAACGCGGATACCATAATGTCCAATAAATAATTGATTAGATGATACACAGCAAACACAGGATATAACTATACAGGGTGTCCCATTTTAAGTGTCTACCCCAAATATCTCTCTTATTTTTTATTTTAAAGAAAAATGGTTCAGACACGTTTTGTATGGTTTCGAGGGAGCCATAATATTGTATCATTGATTTGACCTTGAAGAGTCATTTGAAGGTCACGTGAAGGTTACCTCAATTTTTTTAGATGGCACCCGCTATTTTTTATTATATATTCTTGTAGCTGACCTCGAGAGCTTCCCAAAACACTATAATGAAATGTTTTTTGGTGAAGCACTTTTCGAGTTATAAAGCTCCAAATTTACAAAATTTTAATAAAAATACAAAATATTTCGTAAAACATTCACTTTCCGATAGTCTTATCTTACATGATCCAACCAGTCAAGGCAAGATCCGAGCATTATCCAACCAGTTAAGGCAAGGTCCGAGCATGATCCAGCCAGTCAAGGCAAGATCCGAGCATAATCCAGCCAGTCCAAGCAAGATCCGAGCATGATCCAGCTAGTCAAGGCAAGATCCGAACATGATCCAACCAGTCAAGGCAAAATCTTCTTTTGTGTACAATTACTTAAAGTGTTCAAAAACTTGGCCATTTACTTGTATGCATAGCTCCAGTCTATGCTGAAAGTCGTCCCTAACTTTCTCAAGAACACCTACATTAATATTTCTGCAAGCCTGTCTGATCCGGTTTTTCATAATTTCAACGGTTGTAGGCTTTTGCGAATAAACTATATCTCTAATGTAGCCCCAGAAATAAAAATCTAGGGGTGTCAAGTCGAGTGATCTTGGGGGCCATTCTTGAACTCGGCTGCCCATACCAATCCACCTATTCGGAAATCTATTGTTTAAATGTTGTGTAACAGCTCGAGATCTATGAGCCGGTGCTCCATCTTGTTGGAACCACATTCGTCTGAGTAAATCATTGTCGACATGTCTCAAGAGGTTGGGTAGGTCTTCTTGAAGAAATCTTAGATAGATTGCCGCATTGAGATTTTCTTCAAAAAAATTTGGACCAACAATAACATCTCCCAGGATGCCTGCCCAAACGTTAATGGACCACTGCCGTTGGAACTCTTGGCTTCTCTGCCAATGTGGATTAGCATCTGAATAATAATGGCAGTTATGTCTATTAACGCCTCCTCTATTACAAAACGTGGCTTCATCAGAAAAAATCAGCAATGAACCGGGGATTTTGTTGGATTTGATCTCGAGCCCAGTTACAAAAACGTACACGGCGTTGGTAGTCCCTCTCTTCCAATTGCTGAGTTAGATGAATGTGATATGGGTGAAACTTGTTGAGCTTGAGCACACGATTGGCTGTTCATTTAGATATATCATATTGCCTTTCAATTTGTCTCGTAGAGATTTGAGGATTCAAAGCAACGGCACCTATAACAGTCAATGATGTGACTTCATCAGGGCCCGATTTTTGCCGGTTTCTTCTAAGAAAACCCTGTTCAGCTCTGTCGCAGAGTCTTTTTATTACTTTCCTATCAGGATGGCGTCTGTCTGAACTTCTTCAAATCTTTCAGCATAATGCCTTTATGCTGCCGACTAATTATTCCTGGCCTCACCCAAAATGCGAATCATGTCCACAATTTCATTTGGTAGATAAGCAGCCATAATTATAAAGAAAAAAGGGCCACAAGACCAAAAATTCTTGTCTTACAAAAAAAAGTCAATGGATAATAATATGCGTCTGTCTGAGACTTCGCCAAAATACCGACAGTTGCCCAAGTAAGAAATTTGAAACAAGCCTCTTGATATTTGTTTCATTAAAAGAATTGATAATTGCACTTTCACAATTGTTACAGTTCATTGATTAACAGGCAATACAGAATCTCGTCTTGATTGGTTGGATCATGCTCGGATCTTGCCTTGACTGGTTGGATCATGCTCGGATCTTGCCTTGACTGGTTGGATCATGTAAGACAAGACTATCGGAAAGTGAATGTTTTACGAAATATTTTGTATTTTTATCAAAATTTTGTAAATTTGGAGCTTTGTAACTCGGAAAGTACTTCACCAAAAAATATTTAATTAGAGTGTTTTGGGAAGCTCTCGACGTCGGCTACAAGAATATGTAATAAAAAATAGGGGGTGCCATCTAAAAAAATTGAGGTAACCTTCACGTGATCTTCAAATGACTCTTCAAGATCAAATCAATGGTACCATCTTATGGCCCCCTCGAAACCATACAAAACGTGTCTGAACTATTTTTCTTTAAAATAAAAAATAAGAGAGATATTTGGGGTGGACACTTAAAATGGGACACCCTGTATAACATACATTAACTATATAACATAGAAGTAACATTTAATATAAATGCTGTTATAAGTTACTAATATTAAGGTTAGTTAATTTTTGTTTATAATATCAATATAACTGTGTTTTAAAACTATTATATTACTTTATTATGTAATGGTTACAGCGATATAACGGCAATATTATTTAAATATAACACGTTATATATAAGTTTATAACAAGTGTACATATGTTATAAAATGTGTAGTATTCATGTTACATTTATGTCACATAACAGTTATATTTACATTACATAATTTTCTTTAATCATAAATGCATGGTTGTAAGGAAGACATAAGATAGTGGCAATAATTTGATTTAAATAATTGCTTGAAGATAACGTAAAAGTCACCTTCAATTTCTTATATGGGACTTATTTTTTATTGCATACTCTTATAGCTTACGTCGAAAGCTTTTCAAAACATTATAATAAAATATTTTTTTATTAACAATTTTCTGAAATATTTTAAATCTTGTCACGACATTTTTAACGTGAGTCCCCTTACTTCTCACGATTCGGGATGTTTGATTAAACGTTAAGATTGTTGCGTGGATTGGATGACGTGAACCTGTCGCATGATCCCCGCAATCTTTTAATCTGACTTCACCCGGCTTTTATTTATTGGATTATAAAAAATGTGATCTATGAGCATGCGCCTACAACTAGAGAAGACATGATGGAAGAATACGAATAACTTGCAGATGTGTATACAGGGTGTCTCAGAACTTTGGGACACGGACTCCGTAGGGATATAGAGCTAAGTGAGAGGAACAAAAAAGTCCTCTGCCATAATGTGAAAATCGTAACAGTTTTTTTAATTATAACAGCGCAAAGTTAGGCGTTTTCTACGCCCAGCGCGGCCTATAGACGTTCCGCGGCAAGCTATGTGCGTAGGGGCTGAACGATAACGCAGCTCGCGCTGACCGTCGCGCGGCGTCAAAGCGCTAACAAGGAGATGACGCAACCTGTTTCATCGATTTCAACACGAGTAATAGCACACTCGATAGATATGATGCCATGTATAAACGCCCTAACATAATATGCGTGAATGCGTCTTTGTTTACGAGTAATTTGCAGTTAAAGTTTGGCTAGCGGAGCCGTGACACACATAGGGCGCAAGTTACAACACTCTTTCACGAAGCCGGCGTGGCTGAGCAGACAGAGGCTCACGCGCCGCGAACACTTGCGCCGACGACGGCGTTCGAGTCCCGCCGACGACTGGTTCGGTTTTTTTTTCGTATGTAAAGACATGTAACAAATATTTTTATATTGTTCTTATGTATAATTCCTTCTTTTGTTTCTACGCTATTAATCAAGGCTAATTAGGAGAGACAGGTCTTTCAAATATGAACACAACTTTTTTGTTAATTAAAATAAAATGTTTTTTTCGTGTAAATCTATTTCGCATAAATATTTCGTATGGTATGGGAAAGAAATGGCCAGACAGTGATTTTTTTGTGTGAGAGAAACCCGAGAGTCGTTAGAACCGTTACAAGTGGAAAGGAACCCTCTTCCCTTTCCCCTTCTCGTAAAGGGATTCTCATGTTTTGTGACGTGCTCGCTTCATTCTCTAGGCAATCTTCGTAACGTGAACAGTGAAAAACTCGTGTTAAAAATGGAAACCACGTTTGTAGATGAAGCAACGATCAGCTATGTGCAAAATCTAGCAAAATGTGATATTATGAAAGAAGAGTTGATGGACGCAATAGAATATCTTCGAGGTAAATATATTGAATGTGTGAGCAATGGAAACATATACTTGTACATAGTTATTGGCCTTATATACAATATCAATTATATTGAATTCATATTTGCAGATGTCCTGATACAATTTAATTTAATTAATAATGAAGCGCCAAGAAAATTATCAAAAAATTTCAAATTAATTGGCGAAAAATTGTTTGAAAAATTAATTAAACTGTTGGGAAAACATAAAATATCAGATGAGGTGGAATATTATATAGCAGAAGGAGAAGACGTGATTGAAGAAGATGTTCACGCGATGGAAGATGTTCAATCGTCTTCTTCGGACGAGCCTCATACGAATCAAAGAACGGAAGAGTCTTCTCCGGACAAGCCTCATACGAGTCAAAGAACGGAAGACTATGAACCTCCGCAAAAAGTTGCAGCGATGGATCTAGTGCCATATGACGTAAAATTTAAAATAGTTATGACCGCAAACGAACATCCGAATTGGAGCTTCCGTACGTTACAAAGCAAGTTTAAACAGCATTTGTATTATCACAGTGAAGTTGCACACTTCCGCAAATACATTTTATCTGGTGGAAATTATTGAGATAAGCTGCAATTAATAAAACGGAATGTGTATGATCGGTTTACGGAAGCAAGAGAGCAAAGGCAACTTGTTACACGACGTCTCCTTCAACAGTGGACGATGGCTGCAGCCGTTCAATATAACAAACAAGGAGAAGAAAGCGAAGAACATGACAAAGCTTTCCGCTTTGTAGCATCGAACACATGGTTAACGTCATTTGTACGTGAATACAAAATTTCTAACCGTCGAGTTGTTCGGTATTTGTCAAAAAGAGAAATAATATCACCGCAAGCTGTGATGGAATCCGCTGTACACTTTCAAGAATT